AAATGAATCTAAACAAAATATGTGAGATTAATAAGCTGTCGCAGCTCAATTAATCCTTTTAAAGGAATTATTTTAATGTTATTACGTATTTTTATTAAATTTATGTTAGATTTGAACGAGTTTTTGATCATCAAGTTGTCATAACAAAAATGACCTCAACATTTGCAAGGTCGACAAGCCGTCACGACTCAGTCGCCTCTTATTAATAGTATTATAATCAATATTTTATGTAAAACAGGTTTTGAGTCATCAGACTATCACAATCAAAATGGCTCTAAATATTAGGGGGTCAACAAGTTGTCATAACTCATAATTAACAGCCCTTGGCTGCATTTTGGTCACTTGGGGGCTCATCCTTAACCTCCATATGGTACCTATTTAACGTGGGACTATAGTACATACATGATATAAGCCATACCAAGGCATTATCCAATTTATCTATCAATGGATTTCATTACCAAAGGCTCCATGCCAATGGGTCTACAATTTACATCAACATACATATTCCATCATAAACAACATATAAAACATGATTACATGGGGTGAGATAACAATCTCAATAAACCAAGGGTCCTTGGAGATCACTCCACTCATAAGTTCACTCACTGTGCATATATAATATCAACAATATAATATATCATCCATTATCCTACACAGGATATCCAATGACATTTAAGCCTATTATATACACAGATATATTATCCACTGGGTACTTCCAAGAGCATTCCTTACAAGGCCAATCTCTTAGGTATTCTACCACTTGGCAACCCTTATAAGGCCATTCCAGGGGAAGCCCCACACAATCATGCATTTCCACTGGCCAAAGAATTGTATAACATAGCACACTTTAATATAATATCATTATCCTACGCGGCATTTATACCCGTTTTTACTTACGTTTTGACATGTATGACTTTAATAAAAACATACACACGTGTGTTTCTACATTTTTAGTCTCATTTTTTATAACAGTGGGTGTGGGGATTAACATTTACACCGGTAATGAAAGTAAGAATCCATCTACTGTCATGTTAGAGAGACAAAAAAGATACAAAATAATTAATTAAGTCTCACCCAATGCCTTAAGGTTTTAGGTTGAAGTGGTTCTTATCATTAGGGGTGTGCAAAAAAAATGGTTCACTTGCCCTGCTCTTGATCGACCTTGACCTGACCCGTAAATATCTATTTTTTTAACTAGGTTTAAATACTGACCCACTTTTATTTGGGTCAGTTTTAGAGCTGATTTGTTTTAATAATGACACGTTGACCCAAAATTTGACCCACACCCATTATGTGAAAAAAAAGAAAATCACAATTACGATAAAAGAAAAGTTTTAACGTAAAACAATTACGTCAAAAAAATTTACGAAAAATAATTCCATCAAAATTTTTGACGAAAAATATTTTCATCAAAAATTGTGACTAAAAACATTTATGTAAAAAAATTTGACGAAATTTTTTTTTTGTCAACTTTTTTTACGGAATCTAAATTTCGTCAAAATATTTCACAAAAAAATATATTCATAAAAAATTTCGATGAAACACATTTCCATCGAAATTTTTTGACGAAAAAAAGTTTCATCAAAATTCTTTACAGAATTCAAATTTTGGCGAAAGTTTTTGACAGAAACATTTTCGTTAAACTTTTTGACAAAAAAAAAAATTTCGTCAAAATTTTTAGCGAAACACATTTTCATCGCAAATTTTTGACTAAATATTTTCGTCAAGTTTTTTGATAAAAAATATTTCCATCAAAATTTTCAACGGAACACATTTCTGTCAAAAATTGTCGTAAAATTTTTCGACAAAAAATATTTCCATAAAAAAATTAGATGGGAAAAATATTCTGTCAAAATTCTTTAGAGAATCTAAATTTCGTCGAAAGTTTCGAATAAAACATTTTCCTCAAAACAGTTTTCGTCGAAATTTTTGTCATAACACATTCCCATCGAAATTTTGAACGAAAAACATTCCGTCAAAATTTTTGTCAGAATTCTTTTTTCGTTTAAAACATTTGATGGAGGAAATAATTTTCGTCAAAACTTTTGACGGAAACTAAATTTCGTCGAAAATTTCGATAGAAAATTTACTTTTGTAAAAAATTTCATTAGAGAAAAAATTTCGTCGCTTTTCGTCAAAAAGTATTCTGACGAAAAAATTATTTTGTGACGAAATTTTTGTGGTTTGCTACGTAGAAATTTCATCGAAAATATGATCTTTTTTAGTATTGTTAAAATTAGTGATTTGTCATCTTAAGAAGGGAAGAGCGTTCTCTCATCCTTTACTTTTCCTTAATTTTCACTAATTTTGTTTCACATGTGCAGGGGCTTAAAATTATATTCCTTTATTTATTCAACAAATATCAAATTTATTATAAAAATTATATATTTTAAAACAAATAAATAATTAAATTACATGAGTTTAAAAAAAATCAATTACTATAAAAAAAATTAAATTAAAAACATGTTTTTAAACCAAGTCAAAAACGGGTCAGGTCAGATTTGACCCACTTCAGAAGCCAAGTCAGACCTACTTCAGAAACCAAGTCAGGTTAGATCTAATCCGGTTCTGAACTAGTTCATAAAAATCCAAACCAAGTCAGATCTGACTTGGATCAAATTAAAGCGGGTCGGGTCAAAATACCTGACCTATAAAAACCAAGTTGGGTCAAGTCGGCACAAAAGCCTGACCCGACCTTACCCACATGCACACCCTTACTTATCATGGTATCAAAGCTAGAGTGACTAGAAGGTCATGAATTCGATCACCACCACCCTCACTTTAAGATGGAATTAGGAAAAACACAAGGTAAACCAAAAAGTATACCTATATATGCAACACATGGTAGACTAAAAAATGAGTCTGTATCATATCTACGCTTCAAGTCAAAGGGATCTTGCGTGAAGGGAGTGTGTTAGAGATAAAAGATATAAAATAATTTATTAAGTCTCGTTACCCAATGCCTTAAGGTTTTGGGTTGAAGTTATTTTTATCATCTAACGGTGGAAAAATGGTATGTGGTGGTAAGAATGTAAAATAACGACACAGTCTTTTGTTAATTTCACCAAAAAAGAAGAAAATTTAAGTTGTAAAGGAGGGGCTTTTACCAAGCTTGCTGCTACGTACATTTGACAAATATGTGGCATGAATATGATCACTTTGTTGTAACCCAGCTGACAAACGCTCAAGTGAGATTTTTTTCCCCCAATTAATTAAGGACTTGACTATTGTTTTTAAAACCATGTGGGGTCTAATTTTTGTTGACCTAAGTAAACCCCTTGAATTAAGTATATACACCTCACACTCACTTGTTATATAGAGTTGGATTTTAATCGAATATGTAAGAGCAAATAAATTTTGAGAGTAGATGAGTACATTCAACATTTTAAAATATAACGTAAATTACCTGAATAAGTTACTGAAGGTGAGAGGATAAGGACTAAGGTTTTGTGTTTTTATATGGAATACTTTTTGGATGAACACCATTTATGATTTTGACGTCTTTATGATCAGTACCTAATAAATTTTGGATGGAGTATTTCATGAGATTTCGATGTCTATAAAAAGGATATTGTTTATCATGAGATTTCGATGTCTTTTGCATACAAAAGGGACATTATTTATCTGGAGTGATGACAGTCTCTGTCCTTATGCACAATTGGTATTAGTATTGGATGAGTAATTCCTTTCATGTTTTCAGCATTTTTGCAATCTTATTTAATAATATTTCCATCTTTTGATCATAAAAGGGATATTGTTTATCTTGAAAAAAGGTCCTTATTAATCTTTTCTCAAGTGATAATTTTTTTGGTGTTGAAGTTACATTTTATTTTGAGTAAATTATAACCTTTGTGTTATTTATTTCAAATTATGTATCGCTTGATGCAGGATTATTGATTTATAAATTTCTCCTAGACTTTGTGTTTGTTCATACTCTAGTATCTGTAAGATTATATTCTTTGCAGGGACAGAGAATTTAATGTAAGAGTTTTTTGTGGCAAATTAATGCCAATTCCTTGGGTCGAACATGAGGCTGGTATTCTGAGTCTCCTTAACAAATGTATGGTGAATTTCTGTCAATGAAGACATATTTTAAAGTTTTATGCTAATAAACTAACTGTGTGGTAATATCATTTCTCTGAAACTCTCAATCTGAGCAAAACAATGTTGTTCAATATCATGCTATGCTTGTTTGACCTTTCACTACTCTTTGTGCATAAATTGGATGACTTTAATGTATTCTGCATGTATATCCCTGTTAGTTTTTCATCTCTTGCCAATGCCACTGTCCCAATTAGGAAATACGCATTTCCCAATTCAAGTCCCAAAGTTGTCCTCAAATCAAAACTTTGAAATAAAAAGTTCAGAGTGTAAGGGGGTCTCCAGTTCAAGCTCAAGATCACATCATGGCAAGCGAAGAGAGAAGCGCTCAACCAGAGCCTCATTGTTCTTGAGGAACTTGTTCATGGCATAAATAAAGAATTTATGCCGCAGGCTACTACGCTAGCTCTTAAATTAAGTATTGTTATGAATTGGAAAAAGACAAACAAACCATCAATGCTCCAGCCTTGTTACTCTAGCTTATGAATCATGTGGAAAATATGTTAATGCACACATATGGACAAGGCTTCTGTGTCAATGACATTATCATAGTTGATGAAGTACCTAACTCAGTAGTTGAGTATTTTGACAGTTTTTTCATTTTATTAAAGACAAAACCAGAATGCCACAAATATATGACTTTCACCGTCCCCGAGCATCAAAGTTAAACATATAGTCGTACACATAATAAGTGTTAAACATGGCAACAGTTTCGAAATATTTGTAGTTCATCAAATAAATAACAGAAGGCATGAAAAATATATATGATAATTTGCATCACAAAGATAAAATGTAAGTGAACCAATAACACTAGTAATTCATACAACACAAAATTAAATCAATTTCGAAATTGCGAAAGCAATGTACATGTCTAAGAAAAATCAAATAAACTTTTAAACCTAAAATGATTTTAACCTACGGAGCTGTCCTGGCAAGGAGAGGGGATTACAATTATCTTGTTTACTCAGCAACATGATTTCTCTGATAACCAGAGCCTTGTCCTGATCGAATTGCTGATCTTGGCGACTAGGTTTCAACCCATCCATGAACTGGAGAAGCTTTGTCTTGTTCAACCTTAGGATATCAACAACACCCTTGGGCTTCTCTGAATTCAACACGAACAACTTGAACACATGGAAAGCTTTCAACTGTGTAGTACTCTTGCTTTCTCTCAAAGCATTCATCAGAAGCTTCAAGTTCTCAAAATCACTCACGTAACGCACCATCACACAGCGGTTCTTACCCTCCAATAACATATTTCCCAACAGCATTAGGGCATGAGATTTCGTGAGTTGATTGCTTGACTCAAGTAGCTTTGAATTGAAACCCTCAAAGAACCATTCATAGTTTCTGTTCAAAAAATCAGCAGCAAGTGATTTATGCCTTGTTAACAGAAAACCCAATGTGTCAGCCACGTGCCCTGCGAAGGTATAGTTTTGCAATGGCACGTATTCTAGAAACTTCTTCATGTAGTATTGGGAATCTAACACATGCTTTGTCGCTATTTGGCTCCGTAGCACACACTCCCTCAACATAATCCCATATAACAAAGCCAGGTGGCTGTTATCATCGACGAGATCAAACATGTTGTCGATTAAGAAATCTGGTAGGTCTAAGTTTTCTTCTATGTATTCGGTAGCAAAGATACGAGAGCTGAAAGGAAGGTGTTGTCCCATTAGGTTTACGACGATTTGGCTTGCGATTATCTGCGATTCCCACTCCAAGGATGCGAAGCACTTGAGTAGGAGACGAAACGGGTTGGTGGCGCTGCGCTTGTCTTTGAAGAACTCAAGGGCTGTTTTGGAACACACTTTGGAATCAGGTTCCGCCTCGGAATCGCCATGTAGAACAAAGTGAAGTTCTTGGAGGAGTTTGGAGATCTTTTGGTGATTGAGATCTTTGAGATTGTTTGAGATGTGAAAAGACAATAGATGATCATGGACTCGATGAACAAGATCAGTGGGAACAACTTGATGGTGATGATGATGATGGCGGTGGTGTTGATGGCTTTGTAGGCTGCAGGGATGGAGGAGGTTCTTGAATGGCTTCATTTTGGAAGTCAGAAAGTGTTTCAACGAGAGAGATCTAGGGTTTTCTGACTGTATGACTAGCGGGGTATATATATATTAGGGTAACAAACAATTCGTGTTTATCTCTTCAAGTCCTTTTAAATATCTCTTCTGATCTCTATCTTTTTTTTTTGGTAAAACAATCTCTGTTAAGTCAATCAGTTACGATAATGTATATATTTTTAAGGGAAAAACATTTATTCTAATCTTATGTCATTTTAGATTCTAACCGTTGATTTCCGTCAATCAACGGTTATAATTTATTGAATCAAAATTATTAATTAATTAATTAATAATAAATTTGGCCCATTATGTTTGACCCAATAAATTATAATCGTTAATAGACGGAAATCAACGGTTAGGATCTAAAATGACATATGGTTATATCCTTTAAAAGGATTGAAGTTTTTCTCTATTTTTAAATATTTTATTTTTTCTTTTGCCATAATCCTAATCATATATTTCAAACCGTAGGTCAAGTGAATTATAAACATAATTTCAAAAAATTTCAAAATTTTCAATTAAATTAAATTAATTGTTCACGAGATAATTTTATGGGATATTTATCTTTTAACCTAATTCCAAATTTCAAGCCGTAATTGTTAAAACCGTTATTGAAATGGGATATAAGATAATATAAACTAATTCCAAATTTCAACCCGTAATTGTTAAAATCGTTATTGAAATGGGATATAAGATAATATATGCATGTATTTTTATATTTATTTTTTTAGATACATGTATTTTTATATTTTATCAAACCGTTATACGGGAAGTTGAGATTTTCTTCATCTTACCGAAGAATGTGGACTACGATCCGAAGTTGCAGAAGCTTTCCGAAAGGTTCTATCTCATCGTCGATAGCATCTATCTATACCATCATACAATTCCAAAATCTTTTGTCAAAAAATAAAAATAAAAATTCAAAATGTCTTGAAGGATAGATAAGATTAGGATTAATCACAAAAGTAAGTTCAACTTGTCCCTACATCTTGTAATCCCATTAATGCTGATTTGGTTTGATTGTATGCTAGAGCTATTCTCCCGTATATGATCTCTATGGTTAAACATTGTTTGTTAGATAAAAAATGGGGTTTGAAATTTGAATTTGGATTTACGGATGAAAATTTTATTTTTTCTGTAGTTACGGATGACATTATTATTTTCACGGTTTTGTGTTTCATATCTCTACAACTATATCTATTTCCCTGTTTCTGTTTTTTGTTTTCTTAACTCAAAATCAATTATATATGTTTGCTCTTTCTCTATGAGGTAGTATCTGTGTTTGAGATAAATTTACATCTTTAAATTTTGTTCTATTTTCCTACACATGCCTGAGAAGATTACCGGACCAAAACAAATTGTCAATAGACATTACACCTACAACGGTGTGTAAAATTGATAGCAAATCTGAACAAAAAGCATCTTGAAAGGTCGAGTAATATTATTAGAAGCATCTTTTCCTCTAGCAAGCTTGATAATGGAGAAACCTGACTACTCTATACATGATTGTATAAATGGGGGTAGCGTTTGTTTACTAAATACTAATCCATGTGGCTACATGATTGTGTGCGTCAGTGTTTATTTAGACGTACTGCGTTTTTTTTTTCATTTGTTCCCTGAAATCATATAAATGTTTAAACAGTCCTGGCATTCTTTTTCTTCCAATTTGGTGGGAACCCAATTTTGCCATTATACTAGATTGTATAGATTAATATTAGCCATCTATTCTACTCAACCTCTGCAGCTGGTACACTCTTGTGACGTGAATACGCTTTTTTTTTTTTTACACTCTAAACCTTAGGAGGACATGATGGATTCAATCATGATAAGATAAGAAAAAAAAAAAATGAATATAAGGAATTATTGATGAACGAAATGGGATCCCACTAGACCTTTATATAACTCTCAATTTCTAAAATTACGCGCGTTATAATCATCATGACGATTTTATTAAAGAATATTTGTTGCATTATTTCACAAGGACAAGACTAGGACTATGTTATTTACTAGACTAAACCACAACTACGATACCAACTAAGACATGATACAAACCTGAGTTCAGGGTTTGGTAAAAACGAGCCAACCCGTCGTAATCCGTCAAAAATAAGTCGGATTGAGTTGGTAAATATGAGCTGCCAACTTGAGCCAACCCGACCCGAGCCAACTCGGAAAAAACTAGCCAACCCGCGGGTTAAACGGACCAGCTCGCGGGTTGATTTTTTAAAAAAAAAATATACAAAATGTAATATACAAAAATGGATCAAACCCACACATGTTGTAATTGTCTTTCTTCCTACTCTAAACCTAAGTCCCTAATCTTCTCACATCCGTGCCATTTTTATATTGTTAGCCTGTGATAACTCTGTTTGGTTCAAATATCTTACCCACTTGGTAGCAAGTGGTTCTGATTGTTTCTTGATGTTGGTGCAAATTTGTTGTGAAGAAAATTCGAAACTAGAATATTTTGCTTTTATTTCTCATTTTGTAACCCTTTGTTTAAGCTGATGGAAGTCACATAGCTGATGCATTCATACTATAGGTTCATTTAAATAGGCTGAAAATGAGTCAACCCGCGATCAATTTTCGAGCCAACCTGCGAGCTATTTTTTCAAGCCAACCCACGAGCCAACCTTAACCCGACTCGAGTCGGGTTGGGTTGGGTTTTCTGCCTCATTTTTTTTTCGAGCCAACCCTAACCCGGCTCATTTTTTTCGGGTTGCATGCGGATTGGGCTGGGTCGAGCCGGGTTGGCCCGTTTTGCAAACCCTACCTAAGTCATGACCATCACACAGGTTAAATCTAATCTTACCACCAGCTAGCCCGACAAACCTAATTTTCATCCAAAAACATTTAGATTTATCAAAATTTACAATTAACATACTTGTAAAAATAATGGAGCAATTCTAAAAATAATAACCTATTAGGCTTCTAAACAAATTAAAATATTGTCCGCATTAACAATGTGTCGAGCTCACTAATGATAACCAAACTAACTCATATGATTAAATCAAGGAAAAAGTGTTTATCCTTTTAAATGACACAACTCTCTCACAAAGAGGTGGGATCCACACCTTTATTTTTTTGTCAACTCTCTCTCCTCCTTTATCTATCTCTTTCTCTCTCTTAAAATGACACAACTTTACATCCTTTAAAATGATACACACTTTTCCCTTAAATCAAAGAGCTGGAATCAGAAATTAATTATGTAACTTTACTTACAAAAACACGAAATTGCGATCGAGGTGAGTTATAATGAATTGCAACTCAACGAATAAATAATATAAGCTATAATAAACGTACATAATAATATATATAAAAAATATCAAAACAATCAAATTTCTCTCTTTAATTATTATTTTCTAGCCGATCAACTCACTAACATCAATTAATTGATTTATTCTCGACATATTTCTATTTGATAATTAAGTATATATTCATCAATGAACTTTATATTTTTCATTTGTCCAATCCGACAAACAAAGTACATTTAACAACTGATTATTAAGAGGTGGGAAGTTGTACTTGATGAATTTAATAAACTTGCTAATAAAAACTATACCCAAAAGCAATCATGTGTCATCCACGTATTGGAAAGGATTCAGACGAACACTAAAGCAGCAGCAGTGTGATTACATAAACTTTTCACATTGACAAAACCTCTCTGGAAGATTGACAGAATACGACCTCTCTCATACCTCGTCAACCTTAAAGACTGTTTGATCAACGTTATATGTACGCACATGGTGGCCTGTAGCTAGATGCTCATTGTGCTTCAGCAGTTCAACTACATTTTTGTAATGACGATGCGCAGATTGAAGTTGTAAAACAGCTGCTTGACCCCTAGTAACAAAATAATGAACCAATCTGCTGTATATGTGCTTAACCATAGCAGTTATTGGTATATTTCTTACCCTTTTAACACCCTATTTACAGATTTTGCCAAGTTAGTTGTCATATGCCCATATCTTCGTCCTTCCACATCTTATGCATGCGTCTATTTTTTCTTAGGGATGACATCAATCCACTCTACAACCTGAGGACTAGTTTCACGGAATCGTGCAAAACCTCTTTCAAAATCCACCATTGACGGGGTATAACCTGAACAAAATGATAAATATATAAATTTGAAGTATTTAATGCATAAAAAAATGGAGTTAGAATTGATTAATCATGCCTAAATTATTTAACGTCCTCTTCAACCTCTCATTCCTGAACTTTTGATTAAAATTGCTAGCAATATGACAAAGGAAAAACACGTGAAATGCATTCGGTGGCTACCAATTATGGTTATTCTCCACAGAGATATTATGCTACAATGTCGATCCAAAATGAGGCATATATTTGACATTTGCGTAACACGAGCACAAATATTCACAAAAAAATAGTCTCAGGCTTCCAAGGTCTCACCTTCAACAATGGCAAACGCAAGTGGTAAACATTCATCATTTCCATCTCGAGTTGTGGCAACCAACAATTTTCCTTTGTACTTGCCATATAAATTAGTGCCATCAATTTGTATCACTGGTTTGGAAAAATTGAAAGCCTCGCAATACTATCTAAAAGTCTAGAAGATACGTTGAAATAAGCATTTTCCAGGAACTAGGCCAGGCTTCATATAATAATCATTTGTTTGTATATGATAAAAAAAACTTGATGAAAAGCGAAGCATATATTCACACCACCTGGGCAAAAATGCATATGATTCCTCCCAATCACCATACATAATTGCAATTGCTTTCTGCTTCGCCTACCATGCCTTTCTATACGAAACTTTGAATCCATAGTTTGAGGTGATCCTTTCTTGAACTAGTGCAATTGAGACTGACGGTTCTTCCTTTATCATCCCTAGCAATGAAATTGTGACGTACACATTAAGACTAACATAAATAGCATTAACATGATTTATCATCGCATAATAACCTAAAAATGTACCTAGGATGAGCTCCGCAATGACATCAGCATCAAGTTGTCTATGACCT